TAAATAAATAAATATATATATATATATATATATATATATATATAACGTTGTTATATTTTTGAAATTTAGAAGTGTACTACACTCCAAAACTTTAACCATGTAAGTTATTAACACATTTTAATGGAATAAAAATAAAAAATAAAATAAAAAATATGAGAGAGAAATATATATGTCAACAAATTATATCATCTTTATTAATAGTATAGATATATAGGAATTTTATTAACTTACATCTACTTATTTTTTTAGAATGAATAAGTTAATTTATAATTATATAAAGAATTATATTTAGGTGTAATTTGTTAATTTACTTAAACTAAAAAATAAGTGAGTATAAATTAACAAATGCTTATAGAGTGTGTTAACATACATTTATTTTTATTTTATAGAAAGTATATTAACAAATTATAACTACAATATTTTAATTTGCTAACTTATTTCTCCTATAAAAAAAAGTGAGGTTTACTTAATAAATCACACATACTAAACCTTAAGAATTTAAATGTTTTAATTTTTTATAAAATAAATAAACTTTGATTTTGATCATCATTAAAAAAAAATCATTTTTCACATATTAATAATTGTGGTATTATATTAGTAGGCGACATTTAAAAAAAATTAAAATATAAATAATAAATATTATTTATCTATCGTAAAATAAATAACGAGACTAAAGATTAAAACCAAAATTTACTTAGATAAAAAATAATAATTTTAAATTTTATGTAAATAGAATTAAAATAAAAATTTATAAAAATAAAATAAAACAAGAATTTATTTATTTTATAAAAATTAAAAACATATTTAAATCATATAAAAAATTAATTTTATGAGTTTCTTTTGAATCAATATTAAAAAGAGTAAAATATTTTTAAAACATTTACACTCTTTATTAACAATTTTCTTTAGGAACAGCTAATAAAGAGGTGAAAATAAATGATATAGATATTGATTTTTTTATTAATAATCCTTTTAATTTTTAATTACTTCCCTACAAATTAAAGGTAAAAAAATGTATAAATAAAAAATAATTTTACATAATACTGTAAATAAATTTATATAATTAATTTAATTTATTCAATTTAATAATTCTAATAATACAATGCAATTTACCCCTTGAAGAATTAAGGATCACAAAAATTCTCACTTTATCAATTGATGATAACTTTTTTTTTTTTTTAACGGTCTTACTCACTTATAAGTAATTAATATTATACAATTTTACATGAAAGTAATTTTCTTTAACTCAACTTTTAACGACAATATTAATTATTAAAACTTAAATGAGAAAAAAAATCTAAACAAAAAAAAAACCCTCTTTGATAAAAAAGTATCGTATCTTAAATACCACGTCACACTTGTTAGGGGCATCTTCTATAAAATATTGTTGTTTTAAAAAACTAATATAAAAAAATTATTGGTAGCTGTACATATATAATATGTATTTAGGACACCAATTATGCAAAGAGAATTAGTGAGGCAAATAATGTAATTGTAATCTGTGTCAAACCACGCATTGAACTTTTTTCAACGATATATTTAGTCAAATCTATATCCATCAACGCCTCGTCAGCTGATAGCGCCTGTCATCACCATTTATCAACTTTCAACAAATGCTTAATTTTATGTACATATGTCAATAAATAAATATATTTGTTAACATTAACAATTATTTTTTAAATTAATAATCACATGAGAAAAAATATAATTGAATAAGAGATTACATAAAATATTTCTTTTTTTTTTTATTTTTATTTTATCTTCAAATGATAATATTTTTTTAATAATATTATTATTTTTTATCTCAATGTACATTACTGTACATGAATATATATAAATTATTCTTTTTAAATTAGTTTTTTATTTTTTTAAATTCTAAATTATAATAATAATAATAAAATAAAATATATTTTTATCACGTAAATTAAAAAGATTCACATATATATTTAATTATAAATTTGTTAATTTATTTAAAATTAAATTTATTAATTTAAAATAGAGTTATAAATAATCTAATAAATCATATCAAAGTCTTAAAAAAGTTAAATTAAACCTAAAAATATAAGTCTACGATATATAATAAGTGAAACTCATACTTT